TCGCCTTACTATGAGTGTGTTGAGATGACAGGCTTAATGTGATTGCGCCAAAATGAAAGAGAGCAAAAAGGAGAATGAGTAAGTTAGGCTCTGGCATAATAACATGATTCGAATTGGGTTGTATATTCAGGAGGCTTATGAATGCACAATTGCGGAGTAGTGTTCCTACGATATCCTTAGTGTGCAAGATTAGTACTTATCAATGCAGTCTTAACCGAAGAAGAGTTTGTAGCCTGGAATGAGTAATTGATGTTCATGTTGTGTTTCTTGAGTTTTTGATTTTATTTTGCTCGGAGTGCAAAAGTTCAAGTATGGGGGAATTTGATTAGCGAATTTTGATGAAAATTATTCCATATTTGTACTTAAGCATTTCTATATTTTAATTTGTTTATTTTTATGTTTTATAATGTTTTTCTAATTTAGTTTATTTTTGGTTTAATTTGATTTTCGTATTTAATTTTCAGCATTGCAGATTTTATTGAAAAATTCATAACTAGAGCTACAAGAATCGAATCGAGGCGTTCTAATATGCGTTGGAAAGCTAAGAGAAAGATCTAAAACTTTCAAGTTGGATCCAGAAGCTAATTAGGACTGTAGCAGACTTGAATAATTCATTGAAGTTGCAGCATTAGAAACATTTTGTTTTGGGTCAGTTTTATGGGCTTGGTTATGTTTTTGACCCGGTTCATTTTGTAAGTGGAAACCCTTGTTTTATTTTATAAGGCCTGCAGCCACTAGAGAGGTTGTAACACATTACTCACAAAAAATATTTTGCTTTGTACACTTGCTATGGAGAACTAATTTTTGAAGGCAAATCCTGCTACTTACGGGCTCCATTACTTTTAGGTTATTCTAATACCAATTTAAATCTGATTTCTATTCAATCCTTCTCTATGATATCATTTGCTCAATTTGATTGCAATTGTTTTCTTAATTAAACTGTTGTTCATATGATAGAATTTATTAAATTCAATTGTATGCATGTTCCTAAATTTTATTGCGTGTTATCGTTTGCTTAATTCGCTAACTCGTCATATTCTTAACTGTTTGCTTAATCCGGTAACAAGAACATAATTCGTATGATTTTGATAGGAGCTTGTCTGATTAATCTCATAATCGAATAGGATGGAAAATGTTTAGGGATTGGTGTTATCATAAACGATGATAAGTCAGAACCCGAATCAGTGGGATTAACCGTTTTAGCTTATTGAATAATCACTTATTTTAATTTGTTTTTATAATTCGACCCTAAAACAAAATCCCCCCAATTCGATTCCTATTATTAAATAATAATTCAAGAATCCTCACGATACAATACTCGAGTTGTCGTTACCATAACTATATTTAAAATTTACTCGTTTTTTATCTGTGTGCAATAACGGATCACCCGGTCCGATCGAATGAGATTTGGTAGTTTGATTGCATCGGATCACAAGTTGTCGCCAATAGCCTATTTCCTATGAGATATATCATAAGAACTTCCGTCAGTTGTGGAAATTGTTGTGATCATTGGTAAGTCTATATTTGTGATTCTTGGAACTTCCTCGTTCCTTGAACGTCTTTGTGCATTTAGATCTTCATTTCTTGACTCAATATCAAATTTCTAGGTGGAAGAGGTGTTCTAATTGACAAATCCCATCGAATATTACAATGATGTGGATCTCAGTGGTAACAATAAGATGTGGTAGGGTAAAATCAGAATATCTAACACTTTGAGTTGTTGCGACGTATAACATGATTCACAATGGTAACCACTTCAACCGCTAATGATCATGTGTTTATAGTTCAATTCACTTGTCGTGATCTTTTAGATATGGTGCATTACGATCTTCATTCATCATTCATAGGTTCTTCGCCAGATGAAAAAGATACTCTGGTAATGGATCTACGCGATAACTCGTTATAAACATGCCATATTTTTGAAGTGTATATGGTAAGGATCGTGTTAATGATGAATAGTTAAGGGGATACAAGACTAGAAGCTTGATCAGGAACTTTCTATACTATATTTGATGTAGTTACCTCCATTATTTGGAAATTATAGTACAAATCCGAGTCTAGATCTAGGATGATCCCTCCATGGAATTTATTGGGAATTAGAATTCATTTCCCACAGACAACACCACAGTTCTTTTATGGAATCAAAACTAGGTGCAAGATGGTGATGCAGAATCCTGAACCGGTGATACTGATCTTCAATACGGTAGTGTAGGGTGAACCTGCATAGTTAGCACTCCAATGTCAGTCAAATAAAGATTCAAGGTGAGTGTAGAGAAAAGTGGAGATCATAAGGTGTATCTTGCATTTCATGGGAAGTGACTTTCTATAGCTTGGGTCATCTGGAGTGGATTGACATAAATTTAAGCCGCTACAACTTTATCGTTTCCTTCCTTTTTGGTTACTTTCCCTTCTTAGATCCAAGACTTCTCGATGAATCTCTCCCTTGAGATTTAGATCCATCTGACCTTTGAGTTGATTCACATTTGACATACTTCTTTAGGTGACCCTATTGGACTGGACGCTCGATCTCCTTCTTAAGTTGATAACAATCCTTAGTATGGTGCTTCTTAACCTTATAGAACTTCCACTAGCTGATAGGCTCAAGCCTCATGATGTCTAACTTTGGATTTAAAGGTTGCGGGAATTTTTGTGTGTGGAGAACTTCTCACTATATCTTCTCATGGTAAGTGTTCAGGGGTGTGAATTTCCCTATAGATTTTCCACTTCTCTTAAACATCATCCAGTCCCTGATGGACGAGTGTAATAGTTCCCACACGACTCTTTTGAGCTATCGATATTGGATGTGCATTTTTCCTCATATGTGGCCTTCTTTTCAACATTATTTACTCCCCTTTTATATAGAATTTTTCACTCGTCTCCAGCTCGGCTAAAGAAGGCACATGCGTCTAGGCGAGGGATACATTCTAGTGTCATGCCCTAAGGCCATTCTGAAATTCTCCCAGAAACATTTCCTAACTTAGATGGTCGACCTCGATGGTCTCCTCATTGAAGCAGGCGAGGTACTCCCTTAGATATTTGGAGGGACGCTGATGTATATTGAAGAGGCTAGTGGCGTCCATCTTTTGGTGCTTGCTCGTTGTGAACTAGTGGACTAGTATTTTCACCAAGTCTTGGTAGTTGGGGATTGAGAGTCAGGGAAAACCCATATACCACCTAAGGGCCGCGTCTTTGAAGGTTCTAGAGAGGAATTTGCATTTCAACGAGTCGGGAGCTCTATTGATCACCATTTATATGTTTATGGAGACAACATGTTCAAATGGGTCAATGCACCCATCAAATATAGCCAATAAGGGAGGCTTGAAATTTTCTATAACGGGTGACTCCCATATCTCGTTTTAGAGTGGATGAAGATCTAGTACCTCAAGGTCTTCTATAGGGCCAACTTTTAGTTGACGTTGCTGATTTGAAGGATGTTGTCATTTAAAGTTTGGTTTAGACGACGAAGGTATTCCATGGTAGTACACATCTCTGTCATTTCACTTTTATCATTGTTGGATTTTTTCGCTGGCCAGAGTTGCTCTCTTTTTTATTCACAATGGTGGGTGGAGACCATGATGGCGAAGACAACAATTCAAATGAGTATTATAAGGGTGGTCTAGGTCAGTTTTACCAGGACCTACGGTAGGCACTGTGATTTTTCTCACAAAATTACAATGTATGACAACTCCTAATGATTAAATATTGTTAGAGGCTTTTAGGGTTTATTTTGGGGTTGAGAGTTGGCTCATATAAGGAGGTGAGAAACTTTGTGTATACAGTACTTGTATGAATATAAGATATTCATCCTCATCCTATAGGTTAGAGGTATTTATAGAAAATCATGGGCCTGAATCACCAATTCCTAGAAAATTGTAAACGCTTCTCAGAGAACATGGGAGCGGATAGTTACACCTACTGTTTAAGAGAATGTGGTTAATTTCTCAATGACCTCTTCCATGTCATTATGACTAGGGGCACGTCACCTCTCATCTTTGCATGCCTTTGGTAAGTTATTATGGACGTAGGCAACATACTATAGAGAGAATGTCTCATCTAGTAAATAGACGGATGATTTAGGAAGCGCTTGACCAAGAAAATATTGTAGGGAGATGTCATATCATTTGTCTTCGTATTGTCCCATACTAGCCCTTATATATATATATATATATATATATATATATATATATATATATATATATATATATATATATATATATATATATATATATATATATATACTATATATATAAATATATATATATATATATATATATATATATATATATATATATATATATATATATATATATATATATATATATATATATATATATATATATATATATATATATATATATATATATATATACCACTTGGCCACGCCCCATGTTGATTCGACATTAATAAATAGTATTATGAGTTGTTCGTCAATTACACTTCGAAATTTATTCTATAGAATAAATTGTTGCTAGAATTTTGATATGTATTGATATTGAATTAAACGAAATTTATTGATCATTCCATAGAATTCAATTAAAATATTGTTTAAACTTATTCAGTTCAAATAAAAAAAAGTGGGGGTTTGATCTTAGTTGATTCATCTTTTTTTAGAATAATAGAGGAGGATATGGATGCCAACTTAGTTGAGATTTATATCTTTTTATAATTTTCGAATATTCTTAACTCAACTATATATTGTTTAAAATTCGTATTTTTAACTTTTTTTTAAGTCAAAATATTAATTTTTAATTGGTAAATATCTATTTGAATATTTTAATTTATATTTTTAGAGCCTAAATTAGTAAATATATTCTAAAATCATTTTATTTATTTCTTTACAAAATATAAATATTCAAATTTCTTTTTATATAAAATTTATTTTTAGAAAATTTGACCACCCTTTAGTCAGACTTTTGGATACGTTGTCTCTGCATATACACAGTTCTATATAAACTCAAAGTAAAGTACATAATTTTCAAAGTAAACTAAGAGAAACAAAAATGGAGTGTAACAAAATTCAGTTAGTTGCAATATTGTCATTCATTTTTCTTGTTCAAAACATTCAAGGATGGGGAGAAGAAGGACACGCCATTACTTGTAAGATCGCCCAGGCTCGTTTGACCGATGCGGCCGCTGATGCTGTCAAACAATTGCTGCCTGCTTATGCGAATGATGATTTGTCAAGTGTTTGTACCTGGGCTGATCGTGTCAAGTTTGCTCTTCGTTGGACGTCTGCTTTGCACTACGCCGATACTCCTCCTAAGCTTTGCAATTTCCAATACGCTAGTAAGTTTTCTTTTCGTTGATTTTTTGTCTCTATTATCACACAATCTGACATCTCAGCAGTCGGATGAAATGTCAAATTTGTAATATCAGTGATTTCACATTTCAATGACTATTATAGTGAAAGATGTATTTTAGCTAATTCAATGAGATTTGAACTTACCAATTTTCTAAACATTCATTTAGGGGATTGCAAGGATTTGAATGGTGTGAAAGATGTATGTGTTGTAGCAGCAATTAACAACTACACCACTCAGCTTCTTGACTATGGCAAAAAAGACACTCAACGTAAAAAAACCTCAGTTTTTCTTCTTCTATATATCTATGACCTTTTATATGCTGAATAACTAAATTCTTGTTTGACAATGGAATATCATAATATCAGATAACCTTACACAAGCACTTCTGTTCCTTTCTCACTATATGGGAGATGTTCATCAGGTATGTCTAACAGCTTCAAACAGATTTCACCGTCTCTAATCTTAATTCAAAATTTAGCGGAATCAATAACTCCTTATATGTTTGTTTGGTTAATTTGCAGCCTCTACATACTGGTTTTACGACCGACAAGGGAGGAAATACAATCGATGTTCATTGGTACACAAGGAAACAAAATCTTCACCATGTGAGTGATGATTACAATTCTCACCATCATGAATCATCAGCTACTATTTCACTTTCTGCTTTACTGACTGAGTTTTTACGATTTAGGTTTGGGATGCTAACATTATTGAAACAGCACAAGAAAGATTCTATGACAATAACATTGATGAATACTTTAAGGACATTCAAAAAACATCACGGTATTTAATTTCATTCAAAACCACTTTAATTTTCTCTACATCTTTACAATCTTGCACAAACATTTTACTTCAAATTTTTCTGATGCAGAAAACATGGTCAGATAAAGTAGCAGATTGGGAAGCTTGCAGTTCTGATCTGGCCACATGCCCAAACGTTTATGCATCTGAAGGTGCTAAAGATGCTTGTGAATACGCATATAAAGATGCCCCCGAAGATGCTACACTAGAAGGTACGTACTACTAATCTAATCTGTAATAGTTCTCCATGCAACTAGATTTATTACATTTTCTAACTGTCATGAAACAAACAATGTCCTGCAGATGATTACTTCCTATCGCGTTGCCGATCGTCAGTTTGCGATTAGCTCAAGGAGGCGTTCGATTGGCAGCAGCCCTGAATAATGTTTTTCAGTGATGCAACATGTTCTTCTGATGT